GAAGGCAAGGATATAGAAGCGCATAACTGATCTGTTTCCACATTTAGACCATTTTTTAAAAAATACAGAAAAGTATGGCCTGCAAAAAGCTTTAAAAATGATTTGGCAGCATGCCATGTGTTTTCTTAAACAGAAATACAAGGTCACACTCTTCTCCCACCCTTCCAACAGCAACTCTACAAGAGTGAAGTCAATCCGAGTTGAAGACGGCAAGTGGCCATGCGGGCCTATCAAAGCCCATATTCCGAATCGCATGCTGCAGAGCTGTAGATGACTCAGTTGCCCTGGTTTCCCCCCACACACACTTAAATAGGGTGGAATAGAGTTGAAAGGTTTTGAGGTCAAAATGTATATGTCTCCAGCTGAAGTGGACAGGGATCACATGCAGGGAAACAATATTTTTAGTTAAATGGTGTATTGTGAAATCTGTTTTCAAAACTGTGGTATTCAACTTCAGTTACTGATTCTCAAAAGTACAACCAGTTCTTCTTCATACCAATAAACAGCGGGAGAGGCAAGTATAGATAAGTCTTGAGAAAGACTCAGTATTGGCTGAGTTGACCCCAAGGTATAGTTGACCCGGGACCCTGACATTTTTTTGTGCATTCCATGAGCAACTTTTGAGATTATATTGAGATTAGTAAGTGGCAAATTCTGTCTAATGCAGCCTTGCAATAAATAAAGCCTTTAACCATGTTGACATGTTTCAGCCTGAAGGGTAGCAATTTCTTTAAAAGGTCCAAGACGCTAAGTATGGCTACAGCCACCATGCCTCCATCTAGCTAATACTTTTGGTAATGAGGAAGAGAGAAGAAGCCCAGGAGAGGTGTTCTCTCTCTGGGTGGACAGCTAGCAACTGTAGTCTGCATGCAAATATATGTCTTGAGAAGTCTTCTATCAAGCAAAGGTGAATCAATCCATTAAGAACAGGAAACATTTGAAACTAATAAACTCTTCTAATTAAGTCAATCATTTTGATTGTCTTTTTTTTTGTACTTTTTATTTTTTATAAGGGATAACAGAAAGGAAAAGGGAATTGGGATTGATGAGGAAGAGGGGAGACAATAACATACTTTCATCCATTCTGTACCTATTGCCATATCAAGATTTTAAATTATTCTATTTACTCTTTTCTGCCTTCTAGATTCAGTTCTCCTTTCAATATGTACTGTTCACAAGCTGCCTGTTGATTCTGTCCACTTGTTAAATAGATCCCATCTTTCTGTTGCCTTTTGCAAGGGATAGTCCTTCATGACTTCTGATAAAATGTCCATTTCGGCTATTTCCCGTATCTTTTCAATAAGATCTTCTTGTTTCGGTACCGTTGATCTTTTCCAATTTTTAGCATATAAAATTCTAGCTGCCGTAACTATGTATATAACTATATAATTCTTTGACTTATCTATATTTTCAGGTATCATATTCAATAAAAACAGTTCTGGGGTTAATGGCACTTTACAGAGCAATATTTGTTCCAACATTATATGCACTCTTTTCCAATATTGTTTCACTACTCCACATGACCACCACATATGATAATAGCTTCCCACTTGTGATTCACATTTCCAACACTTATTTGATACATCTGTATACATCTTTGACAATTTTTCTGGGGTCATGTGCCATCTATAAAACATCTTATATATTTTTTCTTTAAAGTTCACCGATCTTGTAAAATCATTTTGATTGTCTTGAGGTGCTGATAAGAGTTAGATGTCCTCTCTCATGCCATGAGGTATTTAAAATAGTGATGGGCAACCTCCACAGTTCCAAGAGCCACACACATGAGCCCCTGGACTGTGAAGGGCTCTGCCCCCTTCTGTGCCTCACTAATCTCAACATATTTTGATTCTCACAAACCTTTTCATCTTGAAAAAGGCTATTCATGTCCTCTTGTGACCAGCGTTTTTTGTTTTTGTTTTAATTAAATCCTGGAGGGTAAAGGGTGCTATGATATCCAAAACCCATGGCAAAATTGCCTCCCTCACCCCTTGCAGGGTACAAAGAGACTATAGATTTAAAGATGTTATGAAAATATATTTTAGAATATTGGGGTCTGGAGTAGTTGGGGGGCCAGTCCATGGACTATGGATCTCTCACTCCTGATTTATTAGCTTTGACTCCTGTTGAACAAACAGTGATCCAGAGTAGAAAGCAGATTTAATTCCTGATGGATCTTTGACTTTTCCTTGTTCTTTCCGGCCAGATAATCATACCTTGTTTTAAATCTTACATTGAAACAAAGTAGTCCAATTCCACAAGACTAGCAATTGTTTCATAGAGATTATGTTCAATGAAGACTTATCCCTGCAATTGTTCTGTGAATATTTCTTTATTTCTCCTGTTTGTACAGTGTTAAATGGGTCTTAAAAGTGAGGTCATGCTGCTCCGGAAGCTATTGTGACAGCACCTCAAATCAAAGTTTAGGGAAGGTAGAGATAGCGTGGTTCTCAGCCGTAATTAGCGGGGGACCTGCAGAAAAGAGAACGGGGCCTCTCCAGACAACATTTCCCTAGAAATAGGTTCTTCCCAAATGTATGCTGAGGTTTGAATTATGGATTCCTGGGGGTGCTTCCACACCTAGGAGGGGCTTCTGAATGTTGTGTGATTGTCACAGCAGAAGATTTGTGCATCTATTGAAATTTGCAAATTAACTAGTTTTGCTTGTGTTTGGTTTCTGCATCTACACACTTGATTTGCAAATATAAAAGAGAGAGTCAGTGTGTGTAGTGAACAGTGTCAGTCTGGACCTCAGGACACTGAGGTTTAAACTCCATTTGTCACCAGAAACTCCCTGTTGGGTAGCAAGGGTAAAACCGGCCTGAGCTGACATAGTCTAGAAGGATGGGATGAAAATCAAATGAATGAATGAATGAATGAATTAGTAAATAAATAAATAAATAAATAAAAAGTTCCACCAAAAAAAGTGCACTAAATTTTGTTTCAGATGAGCAGCAAATGTTGTTAGAAAAATAGTGGAAGTGTTGATATTTGGGGAAAATTGGAACTTACAACACTTACATTTTAAGTTTTGTTTTTTTGTAAAATTTAAATACTACTCAGAAAATAAATTCAGCATAAAAAACTTACATAAAAAACAACAAATACTGTATGATAAAATGGCAGCCACCTGAAAGATTCCCATCTAAAGTAGTATCCAAAACAATCCACGCCTGCAGACATTGTGCATTATTCTGTTACTGGCTTATTATATATATAATGATATGTTGTAAATGTCCCTCAGAAAGTAAGCAAACTAAATGTGGCTGTTCCATGTAAAACATTTAGGTCCAACTTCACTTGCTACCCCCAATTAGATTAGAACCCATTGAGGCAAAGGCCAAATACTTACTTAGGCTCCATCAAGTCACTGGGTCAACTCAACATCGTTTGGGACTAACAATTGGATTTAAGCCCTAGTATGGAAACATACCTACTGTATGTTCTGTCACTCCATGAACACATGGAATGAGATGGTAAATGGAATATATACTGCCCAAAAGCTTGAAATTTAAACTCAAAAAGCAATATAATTCCAAAAGCTTTTTTAAAAATACATTAAATAATATCAAAGTTCTTATAATAAGAAAACACAAAATAAAAAGCATTATTTAGCTCTAAGCATGTTAACACACAGGGAATTTTTTTTTAATTACGCGCTTAGGCAGTTAGGATGAATGGCTATCTGCTGTTATCTCATGGCTGTTCTCAGATTTTTCATAAGATAAAGCTTGTCTCCTTTCCATTCCTTTTGGATAAAGTGTTTCTCCATATATAGCAGTGTGTGGCTGCTCACAATTTATAGCCAAGTGCCACATCAGAAATCAAAATGAACTCTGCCATAGTCTATCTTTCTTAGCCAATGAGAAGCTCAGATTTTGAAGACCGCAGGATCTGCCCATCTCAGACTCAGTGAAGTCCAATTTCTTGCATCCCCAAGTCTTGGCTTCCCCAGTTCCTGGCTGTTTTAGGGCTGGAATAACATCCCCCCTCCCTTGAGCTGTGCTAGATGGACATAAAATAGCCAGTTATTCTAAGTGGTTTGGTGAGGAAATATTTGTGTGTGTGTGTATGTGTGTGTTAACAACATGCGTAAAGCTAAATAATGCTTTTCATTTTTTATTTTCTTATTATAAGAAGTTTGATGTTCCAGAACATATTTTTAAGAAAGCTTTTAAAGCTTTTGGAGTTATATTGCTTTTTACTTATAAATGAAATATTATAGAGATGTATTCTTTGCCTTTGTAGGCTATCAGCGTCTGTGTTTTAATGGACTTCTATCTATATTGATATATATTAACATGACTAAAGTTCTTGTCTGGACTCTACATAGCTATAAGCTTACAACTGAGATGTATTTTCTTACTTAAGTATTTGCCCAAAGATTAAATTCAGTTTTTTTAGATTGTTAAGATAAGTCAGAGTGCGAGAAAGAATGACAACTTACTATGGATGAGAACATGGATTGCCCAGTTCTGAGCCAACACCATGGTAGTCATTATGTCATATTGATTCTCTTCTTTACCAGTCACTGGGTTTTCACCACAGAAGATATAATATGTAAAATGTGTGTTTATTCCAAAGGTAAGGGTTTGTAATAAACCCACAAAAGATGCATGAGGCAGTAATCTGGGCTAATATAGCAGTTCTTTTCACCAACAACTGAAAACAATCTGAGTTTCAAAATAACTCCTTTAACCCACCCTGGAAGTATTTTGTGTAGAAGGACTGCGATCTGAAAGCCCCATAAGCTGACATACTGCACCCGTTTAAATGGAAGACAACTCTTTTAGACACAATAGCCAAAATCCTATTAGTATTCATGCAGGTATTTGGCAATTTGCCGCTGTTAATTACAGCTAACTGACCAGATGTCAGACACAGTCAGGTGCATGATAAGGCATGTGACTGACACATACCTGGCCTCCTGCCGATTAGCTGCAATTAGCAATATAGTGAACTAAAAAAGGTTTTATTATTCTAATTCATTTAATAGGTATTGAACAGGAATGAATAACGATGAGCATTATTTTCTTCCCAAAATGGCATCAAAGAACTTTCCTTTCTTCGACTCCACATCCGTGAAGCCAGCTGCGCTGAGGAGCGTGTTGTGCTCTGAAAAGGCCCGTCCTTTCCCATCAAAATGGAGTAACAAGGCCGCAGAATAAACTTGGGCTTCCAGTGGCCCACTTCTGTCTTCATCAAGAAGTGGTTCAATGATTAACACTCCACCACCTGTTTCAAAATACATGTCACTAAGTTAGGAAACAGCATTTTGAAGAATACAGTGTATAGAATACAGCCTATCCTAAAATGGTCACATTTGACAACGGATAACCTAAATAACTTTAGGCCTGTTGCCAGTATCCCCTTTATGGACAAAGTAATTGAGCCAGTAGTGGAGGAACAGCTCCAGCTGTACCTGGACAAGGAAGATTGTCTGGAGCCATTCTAACCTGGGTTCAGGTTATATATACTGTATATAAATTAGCCTTCAGACTCTGACTGTGCCCTTTAGTTATTTATATACATATATAAGTTAGCCTTCAGATGCTGACTGCGCCCTTTAGTTAACTGCTTATATATATATAAACAGATCTGTGAGCGCTCCACACCAGGGAGCAAGGCTCATTAGGGTGAAGAACATGACAATAATTTTGCTCTGAATGGCCCGTATCCTACTGCTGATTTATGCTTGCATAAGGGAAATTGTTAGGATCTTGGAGGCAAACTGCAGATCATTGACAAGTTGCTCAGGAACCTAATCAGCACCTTGTTAATAAGTAACAATTTACCACCAAGACCTAAAAAATGATTTTCCTTCTGCAAATGTAAAACAATAGTATATTGCCACTGTTTCAATAGGACCCACCTTTCATGTCCTTGAAAGAAAAGAAAAAAGTCCTTACATTTGGAAGACCAGATGAAAGAGAAGCCTACCCCAAACCTCTCACTACTATAATTCTTGATTTCAAAGGAAACTAAATCAGAGTGTAGCCACACAAATATGCTGGATTTTTAAAAAGCCAGTTTTAATAATCTTCGAACAAGGATGAGTAAGTTCCAATAGCAGGAGATCCTAACAAGAAATGGAGGTCAAGAAGGGTGGGAGTTTCTTTAAAAAAAGGAATTCTAAAAGCACAACTTCAAACAATTTCAACAAGAGAAAAAGGTGGGAGGCAGCAAAAAATGGCAGTGTCATTTCACAAAAGGCTCAGGGAGGACATGGGGGGGGAAAGGGACACATATCAGAATTGGAAAGAAAGTCAGGTCACTAAGGAAGAGTACAGACAAGTAGCAAGGAAATGCAAGGGTGGCATCAGGAGAGCAAAAACTGAGAATAAACTGAGATTAGCTAGAGACACTAAAAACAATTAAAAAGCATTCTTCAGATATGTGTGAAGCAAAAGACAAAGAAAAGAAAAAGTGACACAGCTGCTCAGTGGAGATGGAAAATGATAACAGATGACAAAGAAAAGGCAGAGGTGCTCACTTTCTCTTTTAGCTCAGTCTTTTCCCATAGAACAGACTATGAACCTCCAGACACATGTGAAGCGCAAGTGGAGGGGACAGGATTGCAGCTGGAGGTTGATAAACGAACAGCCAAGGTGTAAGAATAGGGTTGGCTGGCTTAGCATGCCAACTACCCAGTAGTAGCAAGGTAATGTTACTGACTTAGGCGCCGTGTGTAGTTTTTGCCTATGAAGCAGTTACTAGTGATGGGATTTTAACTCATCCCTGCTATCATTTTTAAAAAAACAAAAACCAGCATTTTGCAAAACCAGTTTATTAAAAAAAAAAAAAAAAAAAAAGAGGAACCTGAGAGCTACAGGCCATTCAGCCTGACATCAAAGCCAGGGAAAATTCTGGAACAAATTATAAAAGGGTCACTATGCACGCACCTATAAAACAATGAAGTAATAACTAGAAACCAACACAGATTTGTCAAGAATGAATCTTATCAAACTAATTTGATTTCATTTTTTGATCAAATAACCTCCCTGATAGACTAGAGGGAACGCTGTAGATGTAGTATATCTTGACTTCAGCAAAGCTTTTGACAAAATGCCCCATAATATCCTGATTAGAAAGCTAACTAGGTGTGGGCTGGATAGATCAAGTGTCAGGTGGATATACAATTGGCTACAGAATCGTACTCAGAGGGTGATGACTAATGGGTCCTTCTCTAAGTGGGAAGAGGTATAACTAGTGGGGTACCCCAAGGCTCAGTCCTGGGCCCGGTGCTCTTCAATATTTTTATTAATGACCTGGATGAGGGAGTGCAGGGAATGCTTGTTAAATCTGCAGATGTTACCAAATTGGGTGGAATAGCTAATACCCTAGAAGACAGAAACAAAATTCAAAATGACCTTGATAGGATGGAGCACTGGG